GGCCAACTGAGAGGTATCAGAGATGCAGAAATCAATGGAATACAACCAGAGCTGATGCATAGGTATATAATAGATATATAGATATAACAGATGAAGCACTAATATTAGTGAATCTCCTTGTATTGGTATGGCAGAGAGAAGAGATTCCGAATGATGGGATTAAAGATACTATGGTTCCAGAATTTAAGAAAGGCTGTTGTATGGATTCAAGTCACTTCCGTAAAATAAGACTACCAACCGTTTCTGACAAAGCGTTCAGTGCTAAAGTGATCAGGATCAGACAACATCTTGAGAAGATCTTAGGTGAAAAACAGTTTCGTTGCGGCCAGGCTGAGGATGTTTCTACCAGATATCCACAATGAGACAGCTAATGGAAAAGAAGGGAGAATTGAGATCAAAATTTATTGCAGTATTCGTTGATTTCACCAAGGCGTAATTTAACTCATTCTTGAGGGATGAGTTTTGGAAGGTTGGTAGACAATATGGAATTCCGCTAATGGTTATTCACATAATTAAAAAGGTGCATGCTCTTTTGTCAGCTGTAGTGTGAACTGATGGCAGGGTTGGTAAAATTTTTTCGTAGCAAGTTCGAAATGAAGCAAGAACGAATTGAACCTCCACTGTTGTTTGTAGCATTTTTTGTCTCAGTGCTCCAGTCAGTCCTAAGGAATAAAGCTACGAACCGAAGAGTTGACAACATTTGCATAAACCCTATTGCATTTGCGGATGATATGGTATCGCTGACAGACGACTGTATAGCTGCGACATCATGGATCTTGACCTTGAAACAGGTTTTGAGATATCTTAGTCTCTCAAATAACTGAAAGACGACAAAATGTATGGTAATTAGCAGAATCAAGACTAACGTCTGTTTGACATCGAACTTGTGGGAAAAGTTATATTCCAGAATATTCATATGCCTGGAATACATTGGTTGCAGAAAGGCGGGCAACCAGGAAATTGAGAGACGCTGTGGATTGGCTGGCATTGGCATTCAAAGAAAAGGTGCTTAAACTCTGGAAGGACAACGATATTGTCAATAACATCAGACTGGGAATATAGAGGGCTCACATTCTGAACGTCTTTTCTATGGCTTAGACATGGCAGCACTTATCAAGGCTGAAAGCAGAAAACTGGATTGACGGAAATGGAGATTTCACGGTCCATATTAGAAGTGAAGTGGTGCGATCTGGTGTCAAGTAGAGTAGTCAGGAG